AAGAGAACCCATTCCACTTTCCTGACTCACCCCCATGGCCAACACCCTCACATTTTCCACTGTGGCCTCTGGATCACACATCTGATTATGAAGTCCTCCTGCACTCTGAATCTCTACCTCTGCCCGAAAGAAAACGCCACCCCTCCTCAAGAAAATTTGCAATCCTTGGGAGTGAAAGCTAATCATTCTTCCAGACTCCATATAATTTTCCTACCTTTCTTAGGCAAATCTTCTCTTCCTACTTCGGAGCTCAGAACTAACAGCAGTATCACCATCCATCCATCCATATAGAGTATTTAGTGCCTGCTACATGCCAGGCACTATGTTAGATACAGGATATTGAACAAACACACACACAAACACGCACACACGCGCCCACACACACACAAATTCTTCTAGAGGTTAAAATAGTGAGACAAACACAAAACCATCACCAAAAAGTGTCGGTTATGAAAGCAAAGGATAGAAAGCTATAGAGGGGGATGTGCAAGCGTTAGTCAGGCCAAGAGTGGGGGAAGCAGCATCCCAAGATGAGAAAAAGAAGGCAGGAAAGAGGCCGGTATTCCGGGAAGTTGAGTGCTCCTGGGTGTAGTGATGGAGAGGAGACTAGTATGAGAGGAGGTAGCAGGGTGGGCAGGTGCAGATCATGCAGGTCTTGAGGGCCATGTTGAGGACGCTGGATTTTAATCAAACACCCTGAGAGAATTTTAAAATAAGCACATTCCTTATCACTCATCTACTCGCCTGCTCACGTCTAACCAGGATGCTTGTTCTTCTGAGTCACCCCAATTCCTGGCATATCCTAGGCAGCTGCAGCATCTGAGGTTTCCCAGTTCCTCAATGTTCTATACTCCAGTGACCTCCATGTCCACCTCCGGAAGGCTTATCTTCACCTTGTCCTTGTCCATGGCTACTCTGCCTTTGAAAATTAAATTTTAATAATTCACTCTTGGACCATAACTTCTCACTCATCCCACTCTCCCACTAACAACTATCATGCCTGCCCTTCAACCTTTAAATGCCTTTTATCTGATTAGAATAAAAAGAGTAAAAGTAATAAAATCCCATTAAAATAAGTGAAACAAAATTAAAGCACAGAGAGAAAAAGTGACTGCTATTTTACCCAGACCTATCAAGGCAGGCAGTTTTCTATATATGAACTTCAATACACTAATAGATTTTTTAAAAATACAAAAATAAATCATACTAAACACGTAATTGTGTTTTTTCCACCTAAAAATAAAAATCATGAGTAAATCACAATGAGATAGATCAAATTCATTCTTTACATTGCTGCTCCTTTTTCCAAATACATGCCTTGCCTGTGACTCATCTCCATAGAGGACTTTACTTCCTGTTTGCTGCAACAGATCTGCTGACCTTGGAGTACCTCGCAGGGGCTCTCCAGTGAAGGGTTTCCAGTCTTTGAAGCTGGGAAAGAATTTCTGCATGTGACTGAAAAAGTCTGGGAGGAAAGCAGTTCCTCATAGAAACTCGTCTGGTGGTAACAGGTCTTCTTAGGCCCATAAGAACTGAAGCCATTGTTTCTTTCACCACTTGGTTTGCTACTGCTCAAGAAATGTGCATGAGAGGCTGCTTGCAGATGCTGAGGAAACCACAGCTTAAGTAGGCCAGGAAAATTAAAACTCACTTACGGGTGTAGACAGAAAGATGGACAGCAGAACAGAAATAAGAGATGCCTATAAAGCCAATGGAAGAGACAGAATTTTAATGAAAATATAATGGAATTACAGAAATAAAAATAAAAAAACCTTTCAAGAACGAAGAAAACACATGATTTTTTAAATTAAAAATTCTACATGCAACAGAAAGAGAATGCCTGACCTTGAAAACTACATTTAAGGTCAGAAAAATCATTGAAAAAAATGCTTCACAAGAAACCCAGTGACAGATACCCTGAATGAAAAGGCCAAGTGTGTAGAAGTCAGATCCAGGAAACCAAACAAGGAGGTGGAAAGGCACATGAGGAAAAGTAATAACAGAGACAATGGAAGAAAACTTTTACAACTTAGAAAGTCTTGAGGTCTTGAATATCAGGGGCAAAAGGAAAATCCTGCAGATCTTTTAGTACTAAGGGGAAAATGGGCTTCCTGGAAGGTGAAAAGCTAGAAGCAGAGACACTGTTCAAGGCACCAACTCTGGGGCCATGCTGATGCCGAGTTTGGGTCACACACCAGATGGGCCCAATGTGTGTGCATTCCTCACATGGAAACAGTACTAAGCAGAGACTGTTAAAATTCTTCTAGCATCTGGCAACTTTCCTTCATCATGTTATAAGTACCAACCTTAGGAACTTGGCAGTCTTTTCCCCCCCAGTCATCAAAATCTGCAGGTACCAGTTTTTAAACCCCCTAGGCACAAATTACATTGACAAAAATAAAACATTAAGAATATGAAAAAAGAAAGCATTCAGATAAGGCAAATGCATTACTGTTCAAAGAAACCACTCCCATCATTTACAAGATAGATACAGAGGGAGTATACTCATAGTTAAGACTCTAGGTGTCTGCCACTTAATAGCCGAGTGACCACGGGCACACTAATTAACCTTTCCATGTCTTTGTTTCCTGAAAATTAAGTGAGTTACTACATGTATCACACTTAGAACTCTGGCATGGAGCACGTGCTTCATAAATCATAGCAATGTTGCAACTGCTGCAGCAGTGGGAAGACAGCCCTATACACAGAACTCCTATGTGGGATACTTGAATTAAATGCCAACTTTAAAACTTTAGTCTCAGCTGGACTCGGTGGCTCAGCCTGTAATCCCAGCACTTTGGGAGGCTGAGGCGAATGGATTGCCTGAGCCCATGAACTCGAGACCCATCCAGGCAACTTGGCAAGACCTCGTCTCTACAATAAATCAAAAATCAGCCGGGCGTGGCGGCATGTGCCTGTAGTTCCAGCTACTCGGAAGGTTGAGGTGGAAAGATTGCTGGAGCCCAGCAGGTCAAGGCTGTGGTATCCGGGACCATGCCACTGCACTCCAGTCTGAGTGACAGAGTAAGACTTCAACTCAAAAAAAAAAAAAAAAAAACTTAAGTCTCATACCACAGCCATGGTAGTGCATCCCTCCATGCTTGCATTTTTTCATATCTAAAACAGGACTATGAATACCTACCTCTTTCAACGTGCACAAACATCAACTGAATACTCAGACACTAACATGAGTACAATACAGTCCCACCCTCAAGGAGCTTACAGTATAATGAGAAAAACTCAGGAGTCTTGGTTTCCTTTCATGTGAGCATTTCCTAAGGCTCCCTTTGCCTTAGGGGATAAAGAAAGGGCTGCAAGGGTCAACTATGGTTTTAAGTACCACGAGTACTGTGATTTTAAAAAAAAAGGCAACATTAATCTTGTTAGCAATTGTTGGACAAAAAAATGTGGCCAGTTTCTGACATTCTATATGTTGCTATTTGAAGAAAAATACTATGAAGCAGTTGAGTCAGTAGGAAGCAAGCCACCATGGATGATGTGACAGTCATAAGAGTGAGGGGACCGGTGGGGAGCAGGAACCCATCTCTGATCAGAATACGGGGAAAACATCTTGGAGAGACAGTTCTGGTCATAGGCTGGGACTGTGCAATACACACCTGCCTCCTTGAGTGATCTTTTAGGGTTGAGTGCTCCTTTGAATAAACAGCTCTCAAGTCATCGTCCAACAGGAGTCACTAGTACTTGATCCCTTGTAAACCACACCCATACGCTTTTAGAGCATCCTGCCTTGGCACACAGGGTGAGAGATTACAGGGAACAAGTTGTTTGTCAACTTGGACAACTTCATCCCAATAATAAAAATCTTACCCTAAAGTTTCTTGGTAGTAAAAGTGCTTATTTTGGTCACTTCACGTGAGCTGGATATGGGAAGGATGGACAAGTTGTTCCCCTTTACTCTTTTAGTTAACTCAGAGGCTTTAGAATGTCTACAATAATAACGTCAGATAATCACCAACATAAAATGAACCAAAGAGATTACAAATTCAAAAGTCAGCCTGAATGTCTACTCTTTATAAAGAAACAATGCATGACAACATGTTTTCAACTATCAATCATTGTCAGGTGGCATTTAATAGCTATGACAAAATTTTATATTTAAAACCAAACAAATGGCAACTCAGTATATATTTCAAGCAATATCAAGTGCATAGAGACATTTGGTATCTTTAAAAAGTATGTACTTATACCATTATTAAAAATTAAAATTCAAAATATTTTCCTTTTTTATATTTATACAGCAAAACAATATAAAACAATAATATACATTACTTAAAATCATGTATTTAGCTCATAATTGGCCTAGATTTATTATAAATCCACCTAAATGGTGGCTACAGACATTACAAAAAATCAATCTGATTTCTGTGTATATGTGTGAGAACAATATTCTAAAACCAAAATAATTTTTTTTTTTGGAGCCAGGTTGGAGTACAGTGAGTGGTACACTCACAGCCACCACAGCCTTAACCTCCTGGACTCAGGCGATCCTTCAGCCTCAGCCTTCCAAGCAGCTAGAACTACAGGAACATGCCACCACACCAGGCTAATTTTTTGGTTTATTGTAGAGATGAGGTCTCACCATGTTTCCCAGGCTGGTCTCAAACCCTTGGGCTCAGGCAATCCTCTCACCTCGGCCTCCCAAAGTGCTGGAATTACAGGCATGAGCCACCATGCCCAGTCTAAACCAATATAATTTAAAAAGGAATTAAGCCAGAGTTAAATTAGAATTATCCAGTGGAAAAAAAGAAGAAAAGAAATACTAATAGCTATCTTGTTTTAAGGTTTCAATTATATAATATTATGTTTCAAAAATCTTTATATAAAAACTCTAATACTATCAACCATAAATCATGAAATATAACAACTGGTAGTGTATATGTGTGTGTGTGTATATATATATATATATATATATATATATATTACACAAATACATATTTTTCTTTATATTACTCATAATAAAAATCTACTGCTTTCAGAAATAAAATTGACAACCTATCCAAACATTTTTACATAAGAAGTTTTAAGAAACTGTAAATAATTCTTAATACTCTCATTTTGATTCTCCGACTTCTCAAGACTATTTTGTATTTCTTTCAAACACACTTCCTGATGTTGTGCTTTCTAAAGAAAAAAAGAAAAAATACAGATAAGCAATAATGGTATTCACATATATAGTGAGAACATCATATCAAATGTATATAAACAATAACTAAATACATTATTTTTAATTTTAAAAGGACACTCTCATCTGATGAGTTCATTCTTATCGTAGAGCTCATTCTTCTTTAAAATTAATAATTAAAGCATACACATGATTGATCTCTACTGTGATATAGTTTGTTGTATACACATTCACCTAGCCCCCAAATATTATATTTTTTAAATGATTAACGTAATAAATAGGATCTTTAAACTGTTGTAATTTCCATTATATTACACTTAACATGAACTATTTTCATACTAGGTTTTACCATTTTCTCTACCTAAAAATGTAAATGAACTGTCTTAAAAACCGATAGAATTCTAGTTTTGATGATGTGAACATTTTATTTTTAGAATTCTTTAAAAAACAAAATAACCCTTAATATTGCAGATGTTCTTTGAGGAAAACATTAAAAATCCCAATACACTTTTAAAAACTTCAGTGGCATACAAATTCCTAAGCAGATCGATCTGTTCACTGAAAATGCTTTAGAAAAAACTGGCTGCAAATACCATCTAGCTTCCAATTAAAATATAGGCACCTTGAGAAGAGAAATCTTCTGTGTCCTTCACATCAGGTATTCAACAAGACCTGACACCTTTTGAATAGAGCAGTGTCCATTAGGGGAGGTGGGACAGTATGGGGCAACATGCTGGACTGTGCTACGCAAGGCACCAGAATGAATCCAGTGAATCTTCATGGAGCATCAGTCTTACTCAACAATGTTAAAAGAAAAATAGTAGTACACACTTATCTTGTAAGGTAGAATGTAAAATGTGAATGGATTTTAGGATAACACATAAGACTTCATGGACATCTCAGGCTTCAGGAGGGTTGGGTTGCCTTGGGCTAAAGCTGCTGAGGTCACCCTTGGATCTGCACACCCACTCTGCCCCAACAGGATATTGGGCAGAAAATATGAAAAGGCCTGCAGGTAGGCAGGGCACAGTGGGAGACACAGGGATACAGTCAACTATGAGATAGGTTCTCAGGGTGCTTACAATTCAACTGGGGCTAAAGTAGATATACTAAATAAATGCCAAAGTATTTCCTGGAAGGCCCAGAACACATAAACTCATCTCTCAGCAATGTCTTAATCTATGCTTAAAATTCTAGATTTTCACTAGTGAAAAAATGACCAGGTTGAACAAAACATCAGATCTTAAACTTATATACTTGAGTAGCTTTAACCAAGTGCTGGGGGCATTATAACACAACCTACTTCATCTAAGTTTACTTTATTTTTCCAAAGGTTTTAATTACACAAGGACTATCACACATATTTTACAATATCAGAAACTCTAACGGTAAGTTTAAAAAAACAGCTTAGACATAAAGGAAAAACCTGTGTTAAATTAAAAGCAATAAAAGTTTTGTTCTGATTAAGTTGCCATAAAACTTGATAGTGATAAAACAGTGCATGCCAAAAATCATTTAACCTTTGAAACTTTTAGGTTTTCCTCTTTATTCTCTATGTCATTATTAAGTAGATAGTTGTTAAGTAATTTAATCATGACTAATGCTAGCTTTCAGAATACTTAATGTCAAATGACTAATTCATGAATGTTCAAGGAAAAAAATTAGAAGATTAATCAAACAGAGCAGATTTGGTATCTCATTTTATGGCTGAGTGGACCAAAGAATCCATCTCATATGCAGAAACAACAATACTGAATATTTACTTAGCACAAAATTATAATTTTCTAAAATATAATATTCATTATTCAAGATATATAAAACTCTAATCCATAAAAGAGTTTAAATTGTGCTTATCTTTCAAAAATGAAAATTTCATAGCAGGAAGAAATTAAGAAGATTATATCTGTAATTTTCATTGCAGCTGTCATGCAAAAGTAAAATGCAGGGAAAGGGCCTGATGACACTTTGGGGCAAGGCAACAGATGTTATCAAAGAAGACGGAATAAGAAATGATTTGGCAAATCCCTGACATTTTCATTTTTTATGACTTACATTATTTATTACTTTTAGTATTATCAGTAAAGCAATAGCTTTGATTCTCCTCACCCTGTATTTTAACTAAACTACATGGTAAGAGAATGTTAAATGCTAACTTATTTTTTATGATAATGTACTAAGCCATACTAATACTTACATTGTTCATTTTGCAAACAAGTTGATTTTGTTCTTCATTTTTCTTTCTAAGCTCAGTTTCCAGATCTAATATTTTAATTTGGAAGGCCCTCTCTTTAGATGATATTTTTTCTATTTCTTCAGAAACCTATAATTTTTATTAAAGAATAAAATAAATGTGCTTTTTAAAAAATATGATTTAAAGCCTTGACATGGTTATACTGCACCTCTTTTGTTCTTTTCAAATAGACAGTAACTGGATGTTAGACAGTTTAATTATAAAATGTTCAAAGACATTCTATTTTGAAGAAATACATATAGTATAAGTATGGACTGTACTTATCTTTGCAGCATTAAGCATCTGCAAAATTAGCTTGAGACGGAAGAGTTGTATATATTTTTACTGTTCTGTGACTTAAGTAGGTGTTTCCCCAACCATATATTTTTAAAATATTCTGAGACCAATTACCATTTTTCATAGATTTATATCCAATAGATATAGAGCAGCGATGGAACACAGAATGTTCTCATTAAATGCTAATTATACACTTGGAAGTATAATTGGGAGTGTGGTGTACACACACACACACATACACACACACACACACACACACACACACAGAGTGATAGAATGTTTTTCATTCATTGGCTTCAAAGTGATCTGAATTTGTGTTTTCATATTTCTATGACTGCTTATTTTAGTAGAAAGTCTAGCTTAGCTAAGTTCATCCAAGGATGCAGATATGTGGGGATCTATTTGTAGGAATGTTGGGTTGGAGCTACAAGAACAACAGCTGAGGCAGGGATTGGTCCAGGAACAAGGAGCTGGTGGGAAGGACTATCCGCTAACCTAACATCCATGGACTCAGTTCTAAGTTTCTGAGGAGTTATTTATAAGGATTTCTTCTGTACATATTCCATAGGCAATTATGTGTGAAGGATGCCAGTAGGATCTAAAGCCGCAGGAGGAAGGTCCTTAGGACAAACATGTATGCCCTTAGCACTGTCCCCTTAGTGTGGGCAATGGTGACAGGGCAGTGAGGGCACACCTCACATAAACTAGAGACAGCCCCATATTCCCCTGCAGCAGGAGTGAAAGGGAGGTCGGACACACATCTAGGGACTTGGAACTCTTCCCTTCGGGAAAGAATCTGACAGTACACTTGGCATTTCCAAATCCATTTAGGCTGAACCCAAGATAACATCACTTATTATTGTCCTCCCAGAGGTTGGTGGGGCTGAGAAATTTGCATTGACCACTGTACATTTTATTGTTAAGCTTTTATTTAACCATGTGTCTTTCAAAATCAATTTAAATTGGTTTTCCAGAGCTTAAAAAAATCAAAATATATATGTGATATAACAGCTGAATTTCAAGGATATCAGATTTTATATGACTTTTTTTGTCATTAGTGGGCTTGAGGAACACCATGGGTAGAAGGAAGTTCAGAGGGAATGATTCAGAGTTTGATTTTGAACACAATAAGTTTGAGATGCATATGTAAATGAAGGTACCAAATTAGTAGCAGAATATTTGAGTTTGGATTTCAGTGGGGAAAGTGGTCTGGGTGGAGATATATATCTGAAGAGTCATCAGAGTATAAATAATACTTTTATACTCAGAATCACTCAGTCCTTGAGGAACTCATTATCCGCATTTTACTGATTAAGAATCTAAAGTTAAGAGAAGTAGCCTAGAGTCAGGGTACAATGTACCACAGCCAGAATTCAAATCTAGTTCCTCTGGACTCCAAAGCCCAACTCAGGTCAAGACTAGATTTTCAAACTGATAAATTTACCTCTTCTTTGATATTTTATTGAATCATTTCCCCTCATCTCCAGGTTGAAATAACCATTCCCACTAGTGTACTTTGAATCCACCCTCTATTACAACTCCTATTTGCAGGAAGACTTTTGCTTGTTCACCTGTTACTTTCTACTAGACTGTGAGTGTTCTGAGAGCTGAGGTCAGTTCTTATCCATCTTTGCATCTTAAGTACTAGCAACTCACCTGATACAGTGAGGTATTCACTGAATGCTAACCTAACGGATTCAACTGGAATATAATCTTGCATGTGTTTATGCAATAATATTTGTCAAAAGGGAGTTGAACCTTACAGCTCACCACATCCTGATGAAAACCAAACTTTTCAGTTATTTACATATTCAATTTGGTTTTATATAAAAAAGAGGGTAGAGGAGATTACACCTTACAAGTGTTTTCCATCTCTGCCCTATACCCGGCACATTACCATTTATCTAGTGAAGTCACTCTGACCCAGTAATATATGTTTTGCTCTAAAAGGAAGACAGGTAAAGATAAGAATGTAATTGTTCCCTTCACCCTGTCATCAGGACAGAAACAATAACTAGGTTTGGCAAGATGACATGTTGTCTTGTTTAATAAGATGATTTTGGTAAACTAATTTAAAAGTTTCTAAATAAAGGGGCAATAAGTACCTTTTGTCTTCTTTCTTCTAAAGCAGCTTCCAGTTGCCTGGCCAATGCTGTGTATTCTGCAGATTTCTCTTTAAACTTAAGATTGCTATGCTTAAGACATTCTTCTTGGTTTGCCAGCTTCTTCTTAAGTTCTTCATTTTCTGCATCCAACTGTTCTAATTTTCTTTTTACAGAAAACATATATTTTAAAACTATAGTGTGTAGAGAAATATGTAGCATCAATTTTAAGTCAATTTAATACTTACTGTTTAAGGTTTTCACACTTCAACTGAATAAGATAATTTTCCTCTTCCAAAGAAAGCTTTATCAGAAGCTTGTGATTTCCATCAACCTAAAAGGAATAAAAATATTTCTTGGTTCTTTTCTTTATATAATCAACTTCCAAAGAAAATCTACATAATTTGTTGTTAAAGCAACCATAAGAAATAAGAACGTATAAATATTATTACTCCTACACAAAAGATATCAAGAAATGTTACACTGTTAGAATAAAAGTTCTTAAAGTTCTGGCTAAGTCTAAAAACGCTATGTTGCCTATGTTGGAAAATCATCAACTGAAAATTTTTCTGCATGATGTAAATTAAAACATTTTGAACAATACTTTATTTACAAAGAATATTTATTAAGTTGTAATGTGAAAAATTTAAACAGTATTCATCTCCTACTGCTGGATACTAAGGGTTTCTCTTGGAGTTTTCTGTTTCACCTAAAAACACTGATAATTGAATTTTTGTGACGTTATAAGTAAAAAACATATTTTTGTGAGAAGCAAAATAAAATAAACAAGCAAATCACTCAAAGAAACACTTTCCTATGTCAAATCACAATATTCTTCCCATTGTTTCAAAAATATTTAAATAATTTAAGAAGCTCTGATAATTAAAAAAATATATTTCCTCATAATCTTAATTAGTAATTTAGGTTAATCTATGTAGTTTGACATTTTCCTAGAAAAATCTCTTCTCAGGAATTTAAATTGACCAAAATTTTTCTGCATGTTTTTAAAAACAGGAAGCATTTCAAAATTAAAATCCAGACTATCTTTCGAAGATAGACAGGGAATCATTACTAAAACTATCTTACAAGTAAATAAAAAGACTTGTAATCATTCTTAGACTGCTTCTTTGAAAAATAAGATCCACTAGTTCAAAAAATATTTATGAGTGCTTACTATGTGCTAGGTATTCAGCTGGGAGACAGTTATATGGTAATGAACAAGTCACACATGATCCCTATTCTGCTGGGGTAAAATGTATAACTGAAAAAAAAGACTGAAAATAATCCCAGTAAACTTGATGCACAATTCTAATTAAAATAAATTCTAATGATTTACCTTACTCTGACATCAAGAAACATATACATAAGCACAGTTTTGCTGCTTCTCTCATGCTATTGCCATAGTCAAGTTATCACCTCAAATGTCTAAAAAGAGATTTGTATGAATACACTAACTGAGCAATTCTAAGTACCAATTTTTCACCATAAAATATTAGAAGAACAGCCTGGGAAAGAAATACTATTACAGGATCTGCATGAAAACGATGTTTGATTAACTGATGTGGATGGGAATAAAATAATCAAGCCCTGACATGAGTGCCCTCAACTGGTGAAATCATTCCAAAGCATTCCTTTAACACATCTAGCAAAACTCAGAAGGAGCACTGGACACCTGGCCCTGCAGCTCCCTAACCAAGTGTTCCTGGTCTGCACATCTCCCCTTGCAGCGCTGCAGACTTTCCTGACTCTCCTGAAGTCTTGGTTCGGCCGCCGTCAGGGAATCACAGACACGCTCTAACTTCTTCAGATGAGACTCCATCTGACCTCTCATCTAAGTTGTGGAATTAGGGGAAATAAGTGCAAGATCACACATTCAGCATTAACATTTTTACTATCTTAAATACTAGATATGCTTGTACCATAATAAGTATTTTAGGTATAATGGCTTTAAACAAAAAGACTCAACTAAATAAATATGAATAAATATGAATTTAAACTGTGCTAATTAAGAACATACAAAAAAAAGTAGGGTGGACTTTAGTTTCAAAAAGTTTGTTGAGCACATAGTAGGGTAATATTAGGTGGCAGGGAGAATGTTTCACCTATTTAAAAAAGCAAACTTTTTGAATTCTGTCATTATATTCAAGGCATAGATATCATTATTAATTAAAGCTCATATAGTAGTTTTCTACTGTTCAGCTATCAGTTCTAAAGGGATTTATAACTTAGACACTGAACTAAATTAGAGTAGTCTTGCTTCACTCACCTTGGCCCACTTCGGTGGAGTTTTCTATATGTTACTTCAAAATAGCTAGTGTCATCAGTTCTCACTTGACTGTACTTTGATCATTAATGTTACTATGAACAAATCTCTCTAATTTCAACTATATTCTTTCAGCTGCTTCGGTTCCTCACTGTAGTATTTTTATAGAGATGTGACAAGAAGCAACTTTAAGAAATGTTTATATTGCTAATTAAGAAAAACCAGCCAGACCTGGCATTTAGGATGTCCATAAGGAAGAAAAACAAGAGCTAGACTCTTTCCCTGAGATGGAAACACCTATAGTTTCTGTGTAACATCTGGCATTCTTGATCACGAAAGATAAAGCCAGAATAAAGCATCACTCTATGTCCCCAGAACATTTAAGAGCCTATGAGAATATCAGGAGACTTAAAACAGTAGAAAAAGAAAATTTTCATTTAAAAAGTTACTTTTCTGGTTAAAGACCAATAGAAAAACATTGTGACCCATAGTATCTGAAAAACATAGGCTCCAGTCCCTTCTGCCTTTTAAACAGTTTTTAAAAGTAAGTTTTATTTATGGTGCTGCCTGGCAAAAGATACAGTGCATGGTATGTCTCATCTGAAAAAGAGAGTTTTTTTCCTCTGGTCCACTAAAAGATAGGTGAAAAGCAATTCTCTGAAAGTAGCAAGCTGTGCATTCAGCAGGCTATCTTTGTCTCTGTTTACTAGATATGCCTGCTCTGGCTGACTCTTCTTCACATTGCCGCATTCTGACTTCCCAATCCCAAGACAAGGGAATAGCCCAGAGATACTAACCTTGTTCCACTTAGTTGAAACTGACCACTAACATCCAATGACCTTTCCTGCCAGGAGTCAATATCCTACAACTTTCAGTTTCCTTACCAAAATCACACAAAAACCAAAAAATGGATGCGATTTCATTTAAAAACTTAAAAATATTCACAAAAACATCATCACTTGCCAAACTGGCCTTCCCCTCCTCATTCTGTTGCAACAGAGCAAATAAAAGGAAATGACAGTTTTTTTTAAAAGGTATTATTTTTCTTTCAAAAATGCATTTAGCAGAGAATGTTAACTTTGCTTTTTAGACACAAAAGATTTACAACCAGAAAAAAAAAAGGTAAAATTAAAAATGAGAAGTATTCAAATTTGCATATTATGGCTGATAAAGCTCGGTGGTAATTGTTTTTGAGCTATTTAAATTTAAATGGGCTCTAGTATCAAAAAAATTAAACATTTGCTATTTCTTAAATATAAAGGAAAAAGTAAAAAATCATTCATGAAAAAAACAACATTTCAAGCCTGGAAGAAACATTATTTCCACAGAAAAACTCCTACAGAGACTAAGAACAGACTTTTCGCAGGTATGAACTAAAGAAAATGACCGAAATGAAGAATTCGTATAATATTCATAAAGTAAAAAAAAGTAAAATATTACTCTATTATTTGAAATTCCAAAATTACCTTCTCTAGTTTTTTATTTTTGTGTTTTGTTATTAGGTTATTTTCATGTAGCAAATTTTCACATTTGCTTTTCACCATTGCAGCTGCTTCTTGCAACTTTTGCACCTGAAAATAAAACACATTATGAGAGCAACTTGTATTATTTTATTAGGAGAATCATAATAGGAGATAAAATTCTAACATCTGAATTTTCATTTTAAACTAGTCATTATTTTCCTATCAAGACCCTCAGTGGTTTTATAATGTTACTCCCTTTTTAAAATATGGACTCAGTCAGTGCTCTACTCCCAACCACAATCCTTGTATGATTTACCTGTGTTTTCTTCCATCAACATTTCTAGACTCCTCACTTGAGCTCTGAAGACTACAGAGATCTTCATTTCATATCAATGCCACTTTAATGAATCAGTTTCTGGTCCAAGCTAGCTCCCATTTCAATTATTTTCCCCACTAAATATGAGCCAAAAAATATCTGTACACTTTATACACTTTACACATCACCTAGAATACGGTAACTCGTCCACAATTCCTCCAATTAAACCCAAACAACCAGCCAGAAGACCCAGATGACATTCTCATTAACAGGTCCCACAGCTGACAAACCCTCCATTCTTACCTCAGACCTGGATGTCAGAAACAGTCCAACTGAACGTCTCAACTCCATTTCCCATCAATTTCATCCAGATACAGCCTACTCTTGCCAATGCTTTGCCCCGCTTAAGCTTTTACCCTTAGTTCATTATTCTTTAATTCAACTCTCTTCTCTCTTACTGATCAGTGTGTTGTTACCCATCATGCAAGGACCTGCCTATGTCCCATCTTTCTCATGAAGTTTTTTTCTTAAATACTACATTTCCAAAACATAAAGTTTTTCTATAAATCACCACTGAACACATGCTCTATTTCATATCTATCACCTATCATATGTTATTTTCTAGGTACTTCATGTGAATAAATCTGAATTATACTTTATTTATTGAGAAAGAGGGAGTAATGGGCTTTAATGACTCTAGAAGGGAGTCATTAACTTAAATCAATGCCCTTAACCATACAAAATGACAAATACAACCAAGATTAATAAGAATATATTAAGGTTCACATTACACCTAAGTGATTAATTTTAAATCTACATTTAGGAATGTCCTGTAAATCTGCAGGCAGTGTTTGAATCAGGAAGTAGCAAAATCATCTATTTATCAAGATATTTGGGACCTTAAGAAATGTTTAGCATATATAATACTATGTCACGTATTCTCTTTATTTAGATTGCAAACAAATGCAGTGCTTTAAATTGTCTACCAATTTTAATAAACACTAAAATAAATGCAGTGGTTACCTGAGTTTTATAGACTTCAATAAGAGTTTTCTGCTGTTTTTCTACTTCTTGCAATTCTAAGAGTTCATTTTCAACAGAAACAACCTCATCTTTCAAAGCAGCAAGTGTAGTCTAGCAAAAATATATGTAAGTCATTAGAACACATTTATGCTTCAGTGCTAGGACTAAAAAAACATAACCCATTTATCAAAGTTAATAAAGTAATTATCTTTGCATATGATTACCAACCAAAATTTCGGAATTTCATAAAGTTGTGACTAATGCTTATGGACACGTGATTTTTAAAACTTTAAAAACTTACTGACCAAAAAAAACAGACTTGGGAAATAGGCCATGTTCCTAGACAAGAAGAATCAATAATGTTGGCATATACATTTTTACCAAATTAATTTAAAACTACAATTTCAACCAAAAGCATAAAAAATGGGGGGTATGACAAACTAATTTAATTCACAGAAGAATAAATAAATTATTAACAAGAATATAAAGTGTTCAAACAGCTCAACAAAAAATAATAATGATCCAGTTTTTAAATGGGCAAAAGATCTGAATAGACATTTCTCGAAAGAAGACATACTGGTTAACAGGTATATGCAAAATTGCCCCAAATCAGCAATCATCAGAGAAATGACATTCAAAATCACAATGTGATATTACCTCACTCCAGTTAAAATGGTTTCTATCAAAAAGACAGACAATAACACATACTGGTGAGGATGTGGAGAAGGAGGAAACCTCATACTCTGTGGGTAGGAATGTAAATTAGTACAGTAGCTATGGAAAAACAGTATGGAGGTTCCTCAAACAACTAAAAACAGAACTTCCACATGATCCAGCAATTCTACTACTAGGATATAGCCCAAAGAAAGGAAATCAATACATCAAAGAGATATCTGTACTCCCATGTTTATTACAGCATTATTCACAGTAGCAAAAATACAAAACCAACCTAACTACCCATCAACGGTTGAACGGATAAAGAAAGTGTGCTATATATACACAATAAAATATTATTCAGTCAATTAAAAAAAATGAAATCCTGCCATTTGCAGCAATGTGGATGGATCCAGAGGCCACTATGTTAGGTGAAAGAAGCCAAGCCAGCCACAGAAAGACAAATATCCCATGTTCACTCCCATATGAGCTTAAAAAGCGGTTTTCATAAGGATAGAGTAGGTGGGTGCTTATCAGAGGTCAGGAAGAATAATAAGTGTATTTATTACCACAGAACTGTACACTTAAAAATAGCAAACATGGTAAATTATATATGTATGCTTTACCTCAATAAAATAAAATTTTTTTCATAGGAAAGACTAATACAGAATACTAAGTGGAGAATCTCAGTACTTACTAGACATTAAAATGTATAAAGAATTAAATGAGTGGATTGCCTGAGCCTGCGGGTTCGAGACCCGTCTCGGCAGCGAGACCTCATCTTTACAATAAATCAAAAAACTAGCCGGGCGTGGTAGCGCATGCCTGTAATTCCGGATACTTGGAAGGCTGAGGCGGAAGGATTGCCAGAGCCCAGCAAGTCGAGGCTGCGGTGGCTGGGAACGGTCACTGCACTCCAGTCTGGGTGACAGAGTGAGACTCCAACTCAAAAAAAAAAAAAAAAAGATACTAACATAAGAATATAGAGATTGATGAAAAAGAAAAAATACAAAAAATTATACTTTGTAGATAATAAAGACTGGATTTTTAAATCAATAAAGAAAACGTGAATCATTAAATAAATGGAACTAAGATAACTTTAATTATTAGGAAAAATACATTAACCACCCGCCTCAACCCAATACTAAAGAAGTATCAAATGAATTAAACATTAGATATAAAAATAAAACTTTACAAATTTTCAAAGAAGATTCAGATAAAACTGTATTTGATTTTAGGATAGCAAAAGGTCTACTAATGATACCATCAAAAGAAAATAAGAAGGACTAGAAGAGTCTGAGATTTTATGCTCCTTCCATGCTTACCAGTTAGCCTACCACAGTTTCACAGATACTAGCAGAAGACATAAGAGTCCCAGGTCAGAGATAGAGGACTTTGTTACCCACAGTAATAGAAGCTACATTTGTGTTAGTTTCACAGAGCAACAAAGAGGGCCAGATGACAACATTTACAGAAGACCAAACCTGAGTTTAGGAAACTCAAATCTCTTATAACAGGCAATAAGCATGCCTACCCTTCACACCAAAGGAAAACATTGCTATCATCTTTCAAAGATGTTTGCTATACAAACATCCTGGAAAAGATAGTCTGGATCTATCTTTTGAGAGCTGGACAATGTCTCTGCTTGCAAGTGTAGAACTGTGAAAACACTCCCAACAGAAGCCATGGGAGAAAAATATGTATACATATATTTATATGTATGTGTATCTTCAAAATTTTACAGCCCTCCAAAAAAGTTTAAGAGGTAAACAAAATAGAAAAATACCAGCAAATTATAACAAATTTGATATATATTTGATATATGATATACTTGATATATATATAACAAATATAAGGTAAATATCCTTAATATATAGAGTTCTTATATGTTAATGAGGACAAAAGACAAATATAAAAATAATAGTTAATTCAAAAAGGCAGAAATGTGAATAATCAGTGAATAAGTGAATAAATATGTTCACTAGTCATTAAAAACATGCTCTTGCCACTGGAGAATCCAGTAGTGAACGAAGCAGACAAATTTCCCTTACTTCATGAAGTTTACAGACAAAAACAAGAATACGTAGCAAAATATATCAAATACAAAAGCGGGACAGGAGGTGGGCCACGGAAGGCCTGAGAAAGGAACTTTTAAGTAAAAACCAAAAGGAAGTGTGGCTGTCTAAGGGAAGAGTATTCTTGTGGAAAAAGGCAACAGTGGGAGGTGGCCTGGCAAGCAAGGGGGAAACAGCAAGGCCAGTGCGGCAGGAATAGAGAAAACGCAAGACGAGTGGAAGGAGATGAGATCAGAGAGGTAACAGAAAGCCAGATGATGCAATGTTGTGCAGTCAATGACTCTATTTACCAAGATATCACTGGAGGTTTTTGAGCAGAACAGTGACGTAGTCTGACTTGCAGCATTATAGGAAGGAGTCTATTGCTACACTAATGCCACCTACTACGCCCAGGGCCAAAGCAAGGAGAATGGTCAGTAGGTCATTATCACAACAAGAGATGACAGTGGCTTGAACCAGGCTAGTGGCAGTGGTGCTGGTGAGAAATAGTCAAATTCTGAATATACTTGAGACAGTCTTGCAGGCAGACTGGAAGCAGGGTATGAGAGAAAGGATGATTTGCTATGAAATGAGATGAGGATGAAATATCTGGGGAAATATCAAGAGCTCCATTTTGAACATGGTTAACTAGTAAGTATATAAGTGGAGATGTCAAGTAGGTAGCAGAATGTATGCCTGGAATTCAGGGACAAGGTCAAGGCCAGAGGTACAAATTTGAGAGCCCCCAGCACATAGAGGGCTCTAAAGCCACAAGACTAAATGAGATTACCTATCAAATGTGGAGAGATTTGTTTCAAAATTAGCACTTTTAATTGCCTAGTACTGGAAAAAGTATAGGGATCCTTTTATATATAGTAGACACATTTATGATGGGTAATTTGAAAATATATAACAATATTAAATATGAGTCTCTCTTTTGACCATACAATTCTACTTCTAGAAATTTATCCTAATACAACAAACACACAAAAAAAGACTCAAAGAAACTATTTTTGTTTTCAACAGCAAAAAACTAGAAGTAGCTACTGGATGTAGCATATATATTACATATAATATCAAAAATTACATTTATGCTAAAATGGTAACTTTAGTCATCTTTCAGTTGTGAGGTTACAAGTGATTTAAAATTTTTTTTCCTTTTGTGCTTTTCTGTTTTTACAGCTTTCTATAATGAACAAATAAAGTTTTATAACTCTCCAAATAAACTTCTGCTGTTTTGAATAGAGGTCACTGAACCTTAGAAACAATATCACGCCCACCTGTAGGTCCAGCTACTTGGAAGGCTGAGGCGGAAGGATTGCCAGAGCCCAACAGGTCAAGGCTGCAGTGGCCAGGAGCGGCCACTGCGCTCCAGTATGGGCGACAGAGTGAGACTCCAACTCAAAAAAAAAAAAAAAAAAAGAAGCATTGTCAGCAGCTTCTTTTTTATTTGAAACTTTAAAATCTAAAACAATTCCAAAGTAATTAAAATTAACAAAATACAAACATCTAGGTAATTTTACACTGCAAATAACATATGCCAAACATACCTAAATATTTTCCTTTAACAAAAATCCAAAGAATAGTGTGTTAAAAATACATGTTTCTGATTTACTAATAGAATATGCTAAGATACAAACTTTAACTCAATTATTTTTACAGCTGATGTAATTTAAAATTAATTCCTTTATCATATGATTAAAACTTGATTCATAATTCATGAAATGTACTTCTATAGTTCTTTCTACCTGAAGAATATCAAGGAAATTAAGAAAATTAACATAGTAAGTAAAATTACCATCGAAATTACCATAATAAATAAAATTGCTTCCTCTTCCCAGATAAATCAATTTAAGCATTCATTCAACAAATACTCATTGAGAGCTAAGTATATGTCATACCTTCCCTGGACACCTTGTGCATACAAAGATGGAGGTTTATATGGAGAGACTGATTGAGAAGACTTTGGGAAGAAGTAGCATTTGAACTGAACTTTAAAGAAAAGGTATTATTTAGACATGAAGAAAAATAGCATTCCCAAGTATCAGAATAGGAAAACTATAGGAATAGATACAAAATCATGACACAACTGCTGAAAATAATGAGTATTCGAATATATTTTTTGGCTTGAGCTCAGAATAACCACAAGACTGTATTCCCTGGTCTCCCTTGCAGCAGGGTGGAGTCACCTGCCTAAATAAGTAAGAGAGTCAAGTCATATGAGACTTTTGGAAAGTCTCCTTTAAGAGGAGGACGTTTTTTGGGGGGTTTTTTTGGAGATGATATATCTTTTTTTCCCCTTTATCCTGTTGCTTGAAACTTGGCTCTAATGGCTAAAGCTGCAGCAGTTATTCCAAATCATGAGAATGAGGGTAACAAGTTAAGGATGACAAGAGCAGAGAG